CTTCTGTCTCTTCATGTGGAGGGGAGGCTCAAGCTTTGTATCCACTTCTTTATCTCTACAGAGCCTTGCTTAGAAGATAAACTGCTTACACTCTGAGTGAATTTAGCAGTTGGCTCCTAATCTACCCAGGTCCTTTGCACAGTAAGCATCCACTAAGTACTAGTTGTTGTAGCTGCTGTCGGTGTCTGAAAACAGGGGTGCATGCATCATAGCACTTGAGGACAAAGTCCCCCAAATCAGATGCGAGACAGAGCTCAAATCCTGCTTCTGCTTCTTGCTCGCTGTGTGGATTTGGATAGACTGCTTAATTTTCTGAAAGTTTGACTTCTTAAATGCAAATGGTAATCAAATCATATGCTGATGAAAGAAATTAAAGCGTTAAAACAAGAAAGTGCTTCATACTATGTCCAGTTCATAAAAAATACTCAGATGATTTTCTTTATTATAATTTTAATTTGCTTTATGATCCTTTTTTCTTTGGGTTTGTGTGTGTGTGTGTGTGTGTGTGTGTGTGTGTGTGTGTGTGTGTGTGTGTGGTTCTGGTGATAGAATCAAATATGCTTCTTTTATTGCACAGAATAGCACCACAAATAGACATTTTTAATTTGTTCTTCTCCCTTCCAATAAACACAATGAATTTCCTCACTCTGCACATTTCAGTTACATTAGTAAGTAGCCTTCTTTCCCAGCACACGATTCAAATCCAGGCTCTGAACCATCTTCTAAGGTCATGTGACCCAGCATCTTTAATCTCTATAAGCCTACTGCGTTTCTCTGCTTGTTCAGTTCACTTAAGGGATTTATGACATTTTTACCATATGAAGGAATCCCAGGAACTTTACACGTTATTAACAAGAGAAGGTGTCGATTTTCTACTTAAGAAGATGGGACGTGGAAGGAAGCATTTTGGAATCCTGCTTTGTAGGCCAAGCTTGCTTCAACTCGAAATCTTTCTGCCTTGGTCTCCTGGGTGTCAGTGTTAAAGGTGTATACCACCAAACCCCATGGGGAAAGCTCCTTGAACCACACTGCTTCCTTGTCAGTCTGGGGAGGAACTCCACCCACTGAGAGAAGCACAGTTAAACTGCTGGATTCAATATTGCCTGCCCTCCAAATCCAGCCGTGACTGATGCCAGCCATATCCGTATACCTTTCACTCATTTGTCAATACATTTCTTTTTGATTGAAGGTGGTTTGTATTTTTTGCGTCATATTTGAGCACAACTACTTGGTGAGGGAACTCTTTTTATTTATTTATTTATTTATTTATTTGTTTGTTTGTTTGTTTAATGTTTGTAGTGCTGATCCTCGAGCACAGGTCTCATATACAGGCAGCACAGGTTTGTGCTCTACCTCTGAGTTCAACCTGTATTTTAGTTATCTTATTCCTGGGCCATAGGAGAGTTCAGTAGATTCTTAATAAGTAACTAGTACATGTAGGTGACGAGACTCCATTCATGGTGATGGACAGATACCCTTTTGACCCACAACTCATCTCCTTCACCTTTTAAGGTACAGTGGGGTGCAAAGTCTGTTCTGAAATCGCAATAGGAAAAGGTTTTCCTTCATCAATCCATAACCCACCTTGAATTCAGACTTACCTTAGTTTTGCTGTTGTTTAGGAAGGGTTGCTTGTTTCCCATTCGAAATGCCGTGTCTCCCAGCTGTTACAGAAGACAACAGCAGCTTGTTTAACACAGCATTTAGCTGAGCACACCAGATGGCAATGTTGATAATTTTCAAATAAGATAATATGTCCCATGACAGTGGAGAATCACATGTTTCTGGATTTTAAATTAGTCCTTCATGACATATTTATAATCTTCCCGGGCTGATCATTTTCTCCAAAGACAACTCTTTCCCTAGTTTATGATAGGAGCTAGAGAAACCAAAGAGTGTAACATTCCACTTTCAACCACCTTTCAAAGTTCAGAGCTGAAGAAATTGTAAGTCACCTATAAGAGAGGTCTAGCTAAACTATACCTTAAAATTTTTTAACTAAGTAATCCCAAAAGTATAAAATGGTTCCCTGGCATTTCCTCAGATAGACATAAGAATGAAACAGAAAGGGAGTAGACCCATAAAGGAGTAAAAAGAACAAAACGTTCCAGGAAAATATGTATCTAGATGGAAACGATGGGGTAGATAGAGGGAGTTTTTTTTTTTTTTTAAGGGGGGGGGGGATGTTAAGCAACCAGCATGCATTGTATCTGTGAGGAGTGGGCATTCAAACTGTATGTAAAAATGTTAATTTGATACAGATGGCAACAGAAATAAACTCTGAGAAAGAAAAAAAAAAAAACCAGCACACCATCAAAAGCCCTGCAGGCATATTTCTGTTTCTTCTGCTGCCTTGCAGCACATGAACATAACAAAGAGGAACTGGAGCCAGTTCTGAAATCATGGCAACCGGCAGAACCGCCATGGAAGGCATTGCTCCTGTTGGCACGTTCACGGGGTCTGAGAGGTCTCTCATTAGGGAAGGGACTGCTGCCGAACAATAAGCCAGCTCCATGGAGTGAGAAGGTTGTTACCTCTTCAAATTGCCATCTGCAGCTGTGGGTCCTTCCAGCCTGTGCTGGCCACGGCCCCTCCTCTTGCTTGTGAAAGCTGGCACTGTTTTAACTATTTTTGTAAAATTTGCCCTCCATTAGCTCTGCCACGCTGGGACATAGACTGAAAAAAAAAAAAAAAAACAACCTCTAATTTGAGGATTCAGTAGGCAGCTGTTATGATTTATCTACTGCATTGGATGCTGGACATTTGTTGATCTGCTAAGCTGGTAAAAGAAGTACCACATCCCAGACAGAATGGGCTGCTTTTGTTTCTCTCTGAGGTCAAGTCACAAAGATGTAGACAGTCAGCTAGAAAATACACTAATATATTTTTCCCTCTTTTTAGAAAGGCGTTCATCCTAGCAGTAAATATTGTTAAGCTCTTACTCTGTGAGCACAGGGCATCTCACAGCTGCAATGTCATGGGGGAAAACTGCAAGAGTCTCTGTTTTCTCAAGAATATATGGAAGAAAGCTAAAAGCTGGTCTCTTTTTAAAAAATACATGGGTTTGATTTATAATTCAAATACATATATTCTGTCTCCTTTTATTTCCCAGATTCCAGCACAGACAGTTTTTCTTCTAAACTATGTAGCCTGGCGATATTGTAGCCAATGTGCCTGCTGAGTGGAAAGTAAAAAAAAAAAAAAATGAGCAAAGAAAATGGTTTGTGAGAGGTGTGGAACCAGACATCCCTTCGCTACAACATCATGG